TCTATCTATCTATCTATCTATCTATCTATCTATCTATCTATCTATCTATCTATCTATCTATCTATCTATCTATCTATCTATCTATCTATCTATCTATCTATCTATCTATCTATCTATCTATCTATCTATCTATCTATCTATCTATCTATCTATCTATCTATCTATCTATCTATCTATCTATCTATCTATCTATCTATCTATCTATCTATCTATCTATCTATCTATCTATCTATCTATCTATCTATCTATCTATCTATCTATCTATCTATCTATCTATCTATCTATCTATCTATCTATCTATCTATCTATCTATCGTAGACATCGTGAGCACAATTCAAATAACACATCAAATGAAAGGCTTTGAGTACAAACTATTTGAGTAGTAGGGCGGCTGAAAAGTGGCAAAACATTTTCAACTTGATGTAGAGTGTCCCATCTATTTTCTTCAGCCTGCTGCATTGGTTATGGAACACCTGCAAGTGAAGTATTCATCAGAATTCATGGTTGGATAGAGTGTTTACATCGCCTCAGCTGCTCCAGCCACATCAGTGCATTCATATGCAGGACATGCACGTTCCACCGAGCTGTAATTACAATCAGCCTGTGATGATTGGTTTCTAGCGGAAGCGACTTTTCTAAAGTGCTTCTCTTTGTGTGATAAATTTATATTAACAGAGCATTAGCTAAACACAGCTGGTTTAATTATGTATGACATGCCCTGAGATATCTGTGCCTTTGTGATGAGGCCATGGAAAGACCTTCTCTGCATGCTTAGTCAGAGATTTTTATTTTATTTTTTTTATAATTGAGCAACATTTTGTTTACACATTTACCAGGACCAGTTGTGAGCGTATGTGTGTTTGCGCGTGCGTGTGTGAACTGCAGATCAGGGACGAGTGCTGGACTGGACTTTTTTTACGGGGAAAGGGAGAGCATCCATCTATGATTCCTGCTGCACTGGATGTAGTCTCCATGGCAACACGGTGCTCCTGCTGCAAATCATGAAAAGATAGTCTGCTCCCCACCCCCACATGATGTGCATGCAGGCATTCTACACACGCACACACACACACATGGAAGGAGGACAGTGCTCATGTCTCACACATGAAAACAACATTGACCTCCCTTCTAAATGATATTACCATTTCATGTTGTATTTTTAGATCTGCATTTTAAGAGCTTTTAAAAAAAATCACCTTTTAAATTTAGTAAGATCCTAAACCCATGTGACTTTCTTTTAACCTCACATCTGTTGTGTTGTGTGTTTCATCTGCCTTTGCACAACCTTTTACCTCCACATGTCACTCTTCAGAGCAATCAGTTCTTAAAGTTCTTAAAGTGGAAAATTATTATGATTGAAATAATTGTTTGAAAAAAAGGGGCAGATATAATAAGATTTTTTCTTCTTTCTGCTGCCTTTCATTTTAAATCTTTTGTATCTTTCTTTATATTGTTATGGAATTGTTTTGTACATTTTTAAAATGAATAAACTTTATACCATACCATACCAGTTCCCAGTAGGATTTGATGATTTATCATTCCTGTTCCCAGTGTCAGCCTCCCTGCACCTACAAGACAAAGAAAATGATTTAGGGTTTTGGGGACAGTCCTCATGTAATCTTTGCTTATTTTTATTTTGACAAATAGGATTTTTTTTCTCAGTTTCCTTAAATTACAAACAAATACAAGAGAAAGAAGAGAGTGTGAGCAGATTTAAAAAAAATTAAATTAAATCTTCTTTGTTGCTATCTCCTCTTCGCTCGGCTCATCTCTTACACCATTGGACAATCCGGTACCCTCCCATTTTCAGAGCAGCCATTCAGCTTGCATCAACTCCCTGCATCTCTCTTTCCATCTTAGTCGCTTTCCCTCCTGCATGCACTCACATCCATGCACTAGTCTGATCCTAATCCCCCCACCCTCATTCAGTTTATCCTTACACACACCCATCTTCTTTCTGTCTCTCTGGACTCTCTGTGAGGGCTTTTGCTTTGGCAATGCCAGGTTCTGTTGACAGATGTGTCTCCTTCTCGAGGAAAGAGCACTGAAACTTGCTGTCGTATCATCAGTTAAGGACTTGCTGTAAGTCAATCTTTCTTTCTGTCACTTGTTGTCAACCTTCCTGCTATCCCCACAATGTGCCAGAGCTTACCTACTCGCATAACTCACACCCTGCCATCTTTTTCCTTGACAAAAGGTGAACTATATTTCTCATACCCATACCTTCAATCTACTACATTAGTCTTTCTTTTTTTGTATTCTTGTCTGTCTCTGGTCTGTGCACTCAACCTTGTGATGTGTGCAGGAAAACACTGTAGGCAAATAGGCACCTTTTGATGGGTTTCTACCATACGGTAAATGTACTCCTATGTATGCATGAAACAAGTGGACGAATGAGACGTGGTTGACAGTTCTGTGGAGACATCCAGATGTGATTAGTTTCGTTTAAACTTTAAGAAAATCATTTGCATCTTATTTATCTCCATCGATCAGTTCCCAACCTTTTGCGTGATTTTTGCTTGATTTTTGCTGATTTTGCACTAGTTTCCTACGCTGTAAGGTGTCATACACAAATTGCAGAACTTAAGTGTTGTCACTGGGTCGCTAGTTTGATGCAGGAAAAAGTTTGAAACAAATTATGAAGTTTTACACACATTTATTGCCCACAGCCATGAAATGCACGCAATGTTATAATGATTTTATTGAAACTCTCTGCAAGTACCAGTTATTATAAGATGGACATCTACAACTGATTTTTTTTTTTGTAGCCAACCTGATTCAAGATGGCTTCCACATCTAACTGATATTAGCCAACTCAAAAATTGCCACAACTCAGTCAATTTTACAACATAGCTGGTCTCACCACTGTCTTTTAAACATTGCCTTTGACCACACTATTTTTTCACAAATTACTCCTGAAACTTTTTGCCATCCACTCCATCCTGCCTGGACGCTCTTTTCCAACTCTTTAACACACTCTACAATTTTTCTGGACAGTGGACCCTAAGTGCTTGAAGTCATGCCCCTTTGTGACCTCTGCTCCTTGTAGCCTCACTGTTTCACTGGTCTCCTCATTCACAAATATGTACTCTGGATTACTATGGCAGACTTTCACTCCTCTTCTTTCAAGTGCATAACTCCACCTCTCAAAGCTATTTTCCACCTGTTCCCTGTTCTCACCACAGATCACAATGCCATCTGCAAACATCTTATTCCATGGGGATTCCTGCTTGACCTCATATGATAGTCTGTCTATCACCAGAGCAAAGAAGAAGGGGCTCAGAGCTGATCCTTGATGCAATCCCACCTCCACTTTGCGCCTCCACTGCAGCAGATCTCAACACTGTCCTGCATTTCTCATACATGTCCTGTACTAGTCTAACATACTTCTATGCCACTCCAGATTTCTTCATGCAATACCACACCTCCTTCTGTGGCACTCTGTCATATGCTTTTTCTAAATCCAAAAAGACACAATCGAGTTCTTTCTGACCCTCTCTGTACTTCTCCATCATCATCCTCAAAGCAAACGTGGCACCTGTAGTGCTCTTTCTCAGCATGAAACCATACTGCTGCCCACAGTCACCTCATCTAAGTCTAGCTTCCACGACTCTCTCCCAGATTATCATTGTGTGACTCATCAACTTAATTCCTCTATAGTTGCTACAACTCTGTACATCACACTTGTTCTTAAAAATGGGCACCAGCACATTTCTCCATTCCTCAGGAATTTTCTCACTCTCAAATATGTCATTGAATATGTGAGTCAAAAACCTCACTTCCATCTCTCCAACATATTTCAAAACCTCCACAGGTATGTCATCAGGTCCTACTGCCTTCCCCTTCTTCATTCTATTCAGAGCTTTCTGAACTTCACCCTCACTAATCTTTCCTACTTCCTTGTCAACAGTTTCTATGACTTTTACTCTTCTTTTTCTTTCATTATCTTCATTCATTAGTTCCTCAAAGTACTCATTCCGTCTTCTCGTCATGGTCTCCTCACTTGATGGAACATTACTATCTCTATCTTTAACAATCCTCACCTGTTGCACATCCTTTCCAGCCTGATCCCTTTGTCTTGTCAATCAGCACAAGTCCTTCTCACCCTCTTTAGTGTCCAGCCTCCCATACAACTCATCATATGCCTTCTGCTTTGCCTTTGCCACCTCCCTCTTTCTCTACATTGCATGTCTTTATATTCCTGTCTCCTGTATTCTGTCCTCCTGTCATATTTATTCTTGACTAACCTCTTTTTTTGAATAGCTTCTTACACTTCACTTTTCCACCACTAGGTTTCCTTATATTTTCTCTGTCCACAAGACACACCAAAGAGACCATGTAATCACAAGCAGAACTGGTTTGTTCCACTTTGGAATAAGCTGTTGGAGGAAGAATCGGTTTTGTTGTGTGTTTCCTTGACTGATGAAGCCTTCCGGATCGAAGGCAAAACGTTTCAGCACAAAAAAAGAACTTGTCCAGATGACCTGACAGAAAAATGTTGGATGTTGACTACAGCCATTTCCATTCTCTCTCACCAACTGTCCTTTCTGGTTTTGTTCTTTAACAACAACCTATCCCAACACTCCCTCTTTCCGTCTTTTTCCTTCTCCAACATGTCCATTCAGGTCTGCTCTGATCACCACTCTCTCCTCATTGGGAATACTCTATCACTTCATCCAGATCCTTCCCAAATTTATCTTTCTCCTCTACATCACATCTAACCTGTGGAGCATAACCACTGACAACATTGAGCATCAGAACTTCTACCTTCAGATACATAAACCTATGTGACACTCTTTTCACCTCTACTACATTTTTTTAATTTTTTTTTAATTATTTTTAACTCCTACTCCAGGACCACTCCTACTCCATTTTTCTTTCTGTGCACATCATGGTGAAACAGTTTAAACCCTGCTCCAAGACTGTCTGCCCTTCCTCTTGGTCTCTTGGACACATAAAACATCTACCTTCCTTCTTTGCATCATGTCAGTCAGCTCTCTACCTTTGCTTGTTATTGTCCTCGCATATAAAGTTGCCACCCCCAGTCCTACATTCTTGACTTTCCTCTTCTCCCCCTGTCTCCTGACATGTTTCCCTCTTTGTGATCTTTGAATAACAGTAGGACAATTTTTCCCGGTACCCTTTTTGTCAGCAGCACCGTGGGAGGTCATAGTTAACCTAGGCCTCGACCGATCCGGTATGGTATTGCTTAGATAAACTCGCATGTTAGTTTTGGCAAAAGTGTTTTACATCAGATGCCCTTCCTGACTCAATCTTCACCATTTATCCAGGATTGGGACCGGCACAAGAAATAATCTGGCTTGTGCTCCTTAGTGGCTGGTTTGTTGGAGCACAAGATATAACTGCTTGAAAACAAAAACTGATTTTAGATTTTTAAAAATTATATTTCATATGAATTGCAAAACTTAAATGTATCAGTTTCTAAACTTCACCAAGATCGAACTGATGTGGCTGTGAGCAGTGTGAATCGAGCAATATGTTGGAAATGAATGAGCAGATAACAACAACAGAGTGCTCTTGAACATTATACTGTATGTTCAAGTTTTCTTGTTCAAGTATGTAAGTATATATATGTTCAAGTTCAAGTTCTCTTCAACATTATATGTTCAAGTGCCTCAGGGGAACCTGCGGTCAATGTGAAGGAGGCAAAGAGCAGAATACCAAGTTGGTATAGAAGGAGTGTCCCCGAAGCTGGACGAGTAAGACAGAAAAGCAGGGATATAAACTTAATTATGGATCATGATGAAATGGGTGCTGTAATGAGTGCATATCTTGCAGCTAAATTTTTGGTAAATTTCAAAGAACGTTTGGAGTTTTTGAAGTGCTGCTCGGTAGAGTTGTTTTCAATATCCATTGTCTTACCTACAGTAGAGAAAATAATCTGGCCTATATACCAAACTGGTCATGTTATGAGTAATTTCTACTGCAGCCAAGATTCTGATAACTTAATTTCACTGAAGACCTCTATAACTTTAATGTTAAGCTGTTGATATTTTTGTCAACTTGCTATTGATGGATCAGGTATACTTATTGTTCAAAAGTGAGTTTTCTGGTCAGAAAATTTAGTACACTGTCTGTTTATGAACAAGCTTTGTCAGTTGTGACAACTGTGCCTTATGTGTGTGTGGGGGGTGGGGGTGTACTGTGTTGATGTGGGTAATAATCTGGGCGTTCCTCTTCCATGCTGCTGTGTCAAACATGTTTGTGTTCAAGTTTGTGTGGTTGTTTTAATTTGTGCCCCATATTAGAGAAGTGGATGATTTTGATCTTTTGACACAAGATCAAACATCTGCATATCAAACTAATTAAATGAGACTTTTGACTTTGTGACAGCTAAAGTAGAGACTGTCTTTAAATTAGGTTCTAGTACAAGATCGTCATCCCTGGGAGGTTTAACAGCCTCAGCCAATACATCTGTGCATGTGTTAGATCTGTGTGTAGGTTGGTGTGTTTAATATCGATAACTAACTTTTTCAGAGTCAGAGTCAGAGTCAGAGTTTCTTTATTGTCATTCGCACCTCATGTGGTACATGTGGTGGAGCGAAATTATGTACACAAGGTCCCAGTTACATCCAACAATAAAATGTATAAGAAAAACAGTAATAACATCTAAGATATGAACTAAGAAAAACATCAATTAAATATACACTAAGCACTCATAACATAAAACATTGAACATCAGCACAAACATGAACATGAGTCTGTGAGCAGATGTGCACGCATGAACACATCAACATTGAAACAGATCAGCAGCAACATGAAACAGATCAGCAGCAACATGATATGGTTTTTCACAGTGATTATTCTAGTTAGAGATTCATGAGTCTAACAGCCTCAGGGTA